CTCAACAAGGTTAGTTGCATATGCATTTACATCAACTTTATAGCATCTTTTACAACCATTACTAGTGGAGACATTAGAGTCTTCGGTTGCCTTAGAAGAAGTTGAAGTGCTAGCCCAAAGAGTACTATAGTTTAGCTCAAGATTTCGGTATTTTTCTTCCAAGCTTGTGAGGCTTTCTTGAGCTATACTCTTCTCACTCTTGAGGCTAGCCACTATATCATTAACCGAGGAATGTTTCTTAGTCAATTTCCCAATTGAGTCATTGGCTATAGACAATTCAACGATTAACTTTTCAACCTTCATCTTTTCCTCGGCGATAGATGCTTCAAGTGCAAGGTTCTTGTCTCTCTCTTGAGTGATTATGTCTCCTTTCATATCCAAGCATCTATTTCTCTTCTCTAATTTCTTCATTAGCGTTTTTATTTTAGTGTAGGCCTTTTTACCAAATTTTTTTATCATGGTTGCTTCAAGTTCTTCTATGTTCTCATCACAACTATCATACTCATCACTAGAGAGATCAGATAAGACATGTACCTTCTCCTCCTTAGCCATGAGGCAAGTTGGAGTGTAGTAGTCATTGTCGATGAGGTTGGAGAAGACCCTTGGTGATGAAGATAAGTTGGGGAAGAGTTTTGGTGGTGAAGTCGTGTCGGGGAAGATCATGGTCGGTGACGAAGAGTGGTGGATGGTGATGTTTGTGGCTCCCTTCTTCTTCTCATCAACACTTGAGTCACTATTATTTGACTCCCACTCTTCACCAAGATGAGCTTCACCTCTTCTCTTGCCTTTGTTCTTCTTGTCTTCATCCTTGTCGTGCTTGTGCTTCTTATTCTCATTAGGAAATCGGCTATGAAGTGACTAGTTTGACCACAACCATAGCAAAATCTCTTCTTGTTCCTTCTCTTCCCATCATCGTAAGTCTTCTGGTTGCTCTTCTTCTTTATGAACTTTCTAAAGTTTCTAATGATGAGTACAACTTCTTCATCGTACTCTTCTTCTTCACTTGAGGAATCATCTTTCACTTTCTTCTTCTTCTCTTGACTAGAAGATTTGCCTTCATGAGCTTGAGTTGGCTTTAGGGTTGTACTCTTGTTATATCCCATTGCATTAGGATTTTGATTGTGAGCTTTGATTGCATCTTCATCTAGGCACTCATGATGCTGGAGCTTTGAAAGAACTTTTTGGGGTATCATCTCATCATAACCGGGCCTTTTCATGATCACGGATGCTAGCATGTTGTTCTTAGCTCTATAGGTTCTCAACATCTTTCTAACAACTTTGTTATCATCCCATTCGGTGCTTCTAAGAGCTCTTACGCGGTTGACCAATGCCATAAGCCTATCAAACATGGATTGTATTGTTTCATTTTGTAAGAACACAAATCTTTCCAATTCACCATGAAGTAACTCAATGTTGCCTTTTCTCACACTCTTATCTCCTTCAAATGACACTTTCAAAGTATCCCAAATTTGCTTTGCACTTTTCATTCCATTTACCTTTCTAAACTCATACGGACTTAGGCTTGACACAAGCAATTCTACGGCTTGTGCATTTTGATGGAGATTGTGCACTTCTTCTGGAGTTATCTCTCTATCTTCATCGGTAGGAATCATCACACCAACATCCACAACTTTCTAAAGTCTTGCGACAATGAGATGCATCTTCATGTTTAGGACCAATCGGTGTATCTCGTTCCATCAAAGTAAGGTGGCTTGCCAATATTGACGAAAGGAGTATGCAGAGGTGAACCTTTGATGAGTTGTCCATAGTCGAATTTCATGTTTGAATATATTCCCTTTCAATGAGTATGCTCACCGGATCCAATATCACTAGCAGCATCTTTGTTTGCTTCATTCTTGCCACTTATTGCATCATCAACCTTCTTGCTCAATTCTTCCTTCATCTTGCTCATCTCATCTTGCATCTTTTTCATTTCATCTTGGAAGAACTTAACTTGAGCAGCCATCAACTCTTCAGCTATCTTTTTGGCCATCTCGGCGGCATCGGCTTGCATCTTGTCGGACTCCGACATTGTTTCTTCTCACGCGGTGAAGTGCTAAAAGAAGACCTCATTCTGATACCAATTAAAAGGATTTAAACAATGCCTAGAGGGGGGTGAATAGGCGTATCTAAAAATTTCTGCGTAATCTCAAAGTCAAATGTCAGTGACAGTCGAAAGTCCTAACAGTTTGGGCCAAAACTTTCGGCACCCGGAAGTTCCGACGCAAACAGCTGGGAGTTCCGCCACCTATGAGAATTGCACTACAAGTGCTAAAACGAACTTTGAGAGAAAGATATCTTACAACCCCACTCCCTAGTGGTAAGGTGAAGTGTTAGGGTTGCTTATTTGATGCAGGAAGGTCACCACTTATGTCCAAACCCTAAGAGGAGAGTTTGGGAGGAAGACAAACCAACAAGAACAAATATGATAGCATAAATCATAACAACAACAAACACGCGGAACAAAAGAATTTATCCCAAGGTTCGGCAACCCCACAAAGGAGCTCCTACGTCCTCGTTGTTGAGGTGACCACAAAGGTCGAAGTCTCTTCCACCTCCTTGCCTCTCTCAAAGCAACCACAAAGGTTACTTGAGCTTTCCACTAAGAAATCAAGGGTAATACAAACTTCCCAAGGCTTTTCCACAAGATGGAAGCTCTTGGGCGACGCCTAGCCAGCTAGGGTTCCAAGAACCCAAGAGTAATAGATGCAAATCCAACCGGCTTGATGAAGAAATCAAGTACTCAAGCTTGCCAAAGTGATTCTCTCACTCAATACACTCTTCTTTCACTCAAAACCCTATGAAAATCGAAGATTGGAGCAAAGGGGAGAGGAGAGGGGCGTCTTGAATGCTTGGGAGCTATTTTGCACGAAAGTTGGTGAGCAATGAATGAGTAGTCATAGTTAGAAGAGAGGAGAGAGCTATTTATACTCATAGGCAAATTCAACCGTTCAGATCTAAGTCGAAAGTTCCGACACAGATCGCCGGAACTTTCGGCCCTTCTACAAAACACTGTTGCGCAGTCAAAGATGGTCAACACAACCAGAGCCGGAACTCCCGGTGGAATGCCGGAACTTCCAGAAGTCGGGACTTCCGACTTTTGTCGGGACTCCCGACGCACAGCCGAGCCAGGGGGCTAAGTCCCAGGGCATCGGGATTTCCTGCGAGAGCCGGGACTTCCGGCACCCGAAACTCCCGACTCCCGTCGGGACTTCCGACGGACGTAGGTGCGCAGGCGGGCTGGTGGCTAAGTCAGCATGCGCCAGGACTTTTGGCACCGAATGTCGGTACTTCCGACTGCCAGAACTCCTGGCTCACGCTGGGACTTCCGGCTACCAGAAGTCCATAAACTATATCTAAGTGTTCGTGAGGTGATTTTGTGTCTCTCTTTATATTTTATTTTTATGCTTGAGCACTCTATCTTCCTCAGACCACCTAAACTTGCATCCCTCTTTATAGTACAACATACCTAAACCCAAAACAGAATAAAAATGCTTTGAAGAGCGTTTTGGGTTCGTCCGTCTTTTGCACTTGAAGAATTGAGGGATACCATTTCATCTTAAATCAACTCTTTGAAACTTTCAAGGGACAAAAGCTGCAATATATCTCATTAAGATCTCATTAGTCCCTAATTTGGATGTCATCAATACACCAAAACCCACATAGGGGGCAAATGCACTTTCAACTTCCTTTTTGCATGTCTCAGACAACGAGGTCTTTGTAAAAAATGGTGTGACTGGATTAAATTGGTGATAACTTCTGGAACTTTGAGTGTTAAAGTGAATAATACTTTTGGTAAACATTTCAAGTCTGGGCCAGGATCACTAAACCTAAGTAGAAAGGGGTTTAGGGATTAAAAATCTGAGAAGAATGAACATCAGTCTTCTGTGGTGGAAGATTGAAAATGGTAGTGGCATTTGGCAAGAAATTGCCAGGAAGAAATATGTGAAACACATCAATATGAAGAGCAGAATTGAAGTATGGAGATTGAAAATGGTAAACGTACAAGCTTCTGATGTGATAAGTGGTGTGGGCAAGTGTCACTTAAGGACAAATTTCCTTACCTTTTTTTTTAGATAAGTAATGAACAAGATTGTTTTGTATACACTATGAGGTTGAAAAACTGGCACCTTACCTTTAGAAGATGGTTGCATGAGGAGTTACAAAATCAGCTGAGGAGGTTCAAGACATACTGTTTAGATGCTCCACTAATGAAATTCAAGATAAAGCAAGATGGGATTGAGAGAAATCTGGGTTATTCTCTGTTAAATCGACATACAAACACTTATGTAGCAATGAGTTTGGGCTAAGCTTCAAACACATTTGGAAAGCTAAGTTTCCCTTGAAAGTGAAAGTCTTCCTGTGGCTTACCCTTTATGAAGCCATCTTGACAAAAGACAAGAAATTGGAAAGGAAATGTATCTTGTGCCTTTTGCACAAGAAAGGAAAGTGTAAATCACCTCTTTTTATGGATGTACTACTGCTAAATATGTGTGGAGTTTGATTGTTTATGCAATAGGGGCTGATGTAGGCCTAGCACCTTTAACCATGGCTTGGATCAAAATCATTTTCCATTGTGTGAAAAAGACTTACCTTCCTCTCATAGAAACATGGCTACGGAATGTGGGACCCTCTGACACTAGGTCTGTCCCTTTTCTCTTTGTTTTTTAATCTATTGCACTGAGGCTTTGCCTTCTTTTCTCTAATATGTATATCAATTAGTCGGTGAACCCTCCTGTTGCCAATAAAAAAAATTACCTGAGTCAATCCTTGACCTCATTATTTATCATCTGGGATTGGGACACTGATGCTGCTTGCTGTTCTCTAGATACAGGCACAAACTGTTTTCACAAACAACTACATAATAAGTTGCTACATAGTACAGCATGCAAGTCTCTTTATTATCTGAATAAAAAAAAGTATTCTGACTCTTCTGAATACTCAAAAAGATCTGGGTGCCTTCTATTCCTGTTCTGTAGCCTCGGCGTTGAGGTCAATGTTCAACAGCCTTCGCCCACCTCTGTCGTCTGCTTGAGTCGAGAAGTCGGTGCCGGCGTCGGCGCTGCCAGTGCCAGGCCATCGCTCCTCCTTCCTGAGTGCTGCTGCCTCATCTTTATCATCTGCCCTCCCGACGCCTGGCGAGACTGCCGCGGCACGTTCGATGCCATGGAGAGCTGCTCGGAGAGCAGGCCCCTTCGCAGAGACAGACCGCTGTCACGCCAACTGTCGTCATCGTCACCACCGCCTTTAACTTGCAGCTTCCCATCCTGGCTTTGGGCAGCCATGCCCTGGTGTGCCCTGGACGAGGCATCGTCCAGTGTCTGGACCTTCTTGTCCCTGTGATGGCCGGCCATGTGCCCAGCCAGGGCCTGGTGCGTGGAGAACTCTGCGTAGCAATACTTGCAGATGTACGGACCCTTCTCCTTCGGAGGTGGCGGTGGCACAAGCTTCGTCTTCTTCCTATGTGCCTCCCTGATTTCTTTGAGCATATTACGTCTCTTCTTGGGGATTTTCACAATGGAGCCACCGTATCCATCAGCGTGCGCTTCAGCGGCTGTCATATCGCTGGTGCCTACACCTTGTTCGATGACACCGACACTTGTTTCGCTCTCACAAAGAAGGCGGCGCCACCTGTTGGGTTGGCTGACTGTTCTCCGGGTATGGCAAGGTGAGCATTGCGTAGGTACATACTAGCTCGAACGGGGTTAGCGGACGATCGCGTCGGGCGCATAGTTGATGGGTACCTCGAGACGGAGATGGGGAAGAAGGCGATGGGGCGGCCGTCTCCGGCGACAGCTTCAGCTTCAGCTTGTTCACGGGCGGAGTAGCACCTTTGTAGCCTCTGTTCGGGTGACTCCGGAGATGGCCGAACATAGATTTATCGTTCTTGAAGAACTTCCCGCACTCGGGACATTCGACATCCCCGCCGCCGCTACCGGAGCTGCTGCCCTTGGCTCCACCGCCGCCGTCCTCATCAGGCAGCCACCCTCTTCCTCCTCCACAAGCACGCCTCCACCGTCGCTCGCATACCCTTCCTCAGCGAGCTCCTCGTCGAAGATCCAATCAAAGCTGTGGCCGTGGAGGTCCTCGCGGCCATGGTTTGACATCAACCGCGGCGGCCTCCCGATCGGATCTTGGTGGCACAAAAACTTGCCCCCAGCCTGGCCTGCGGTCAGCTGCCAGCTCGAGATCAGGCACAGCTGGACGATGCAGACTTGCACCAGCACCAGCGAGCACAGCAGCAAGCTGCCCTTACTCATCAGGGGGAGCAGAGCAGCCAGGAGTGCGACGCCGGAGCGGTGGATCTCAGGCGGGAGCAGCAGAGCTGAGCAGGGCGGTCTGGTTTCCAAGGCTGGCGGCTCGGGGTACTAAAGACTTTTTACCTGCGCCTGCGGCTGCGCCTGCTGCTATGGAAAGCCCAGCACAGGTATCCTGCAGGCATAGGAACACGTTTGTCAGTTTTGATCTGATTCGATCGGTTTCCTGCGCACCTCGGGCGAAGAAGCAGCGTCGGAAGCTCAAGGGGCGTGGCGAGTCCGTGATCTTGGTGGGGAAATTAAATCTGGCGGCGACTCCAGAAGCTTCCATCATCGTCCGTTTCAGGTTCTCAGTGCAACCCGGCCCAGTGACCGTGAGCGATCCATCCATGGCGCAGACACCGGAAGGCGCCACCGCACCCGTACAGGCGCCCGGTCCCTCCCGGAACTGCCCTTCGGCTGCGTCTTCCATCCCGACGGCCCATGCCTCCTCAAGCGCTACCTCCTCCCCATGGCGCTCGGCCGCGTCCCCGACGAGCCTTACCAGGGCTTCGTCGCCGACGGCGTCGACGTGTACGCCGCGCGGCCGGAGGCGCTCCCGTTCCCGCGCTGCAACAGGGGCCTGCACGACAAGGTCTGGGACTACTACTTCACCACGCGGCCCGCGGCGGTGGGAGGAGGATCCGGCGTGGGGGGCGGCAGCGAGGACGACGTCCGGGACGTGGCAGCTGGTGGGTGCTGGCGGCGGTACGGCGCCGAGAAGGAGTACGTCGGCGACGACGGGGAGGTCTACGGGTTCCGCCGCAGGTTCGCGTTCCACGAGGCCGGGGACCCCGGCAAGAAGACGGTGTGGAGGATGGAGTTCCGCCTCAACGAGGCTCCGCCCGCCTTGCGCGGCGTCGTGCCGTCGTGTTCCACCCCAGCGCCAAGGGACTGGTGATCTGGAAGGTCTACAACGCGGTGATTCCAGAGGAGGAGCCGGCGGTGGACTACTACAACATCAACGACGACGATGGCGAGGAGGAGGAGATCGGAGCAGTTGTGATCACGGTGGGAGATGCGGCCGCCGCCCCCACGCCGTGATGGTGTGCATCACACCGTAGCGACGGGCCCCGGGGAGCAGTTGCATGCGGTTCAGAATTTCAGAATTGAAGCGCAGATGGATAGCAGGCAATTCTGGTTTTGTCTTGCAAGTTTATTCATGTTTAGTACTAGAATGGGTTGGAGTTTTCAGGACGGCTACCAAAAAAACTGAGTAATCCTTTGTCTTGTTTCCAGCAATTATCAAATTTCATGCTAGTCAAGAAAGCAATGCAATTCTCTTCTCAGATTTCAGGTTACCATATTCTTGGGCCGTCCGGTCCTGTCTCTTGTGCGTCCGGTCGTCACTTGAGTACTGGTGCAGGCGAATCTGACCGTTGGGATCGCACGGTGGAGAATCAAAGGAAGGAACACGTGGCGCAAATCTGTGGATCGAACGCTAGGGTCCAGCGTCCGATCGACCCGACCTGTGAGTCCGGTCACCCCGTGGAGACTGAGCAGTGTGAGCCCAACGGCTCTATTTGGTTGGGGCTCCATTTAAGCCCCATAGCCGGCTTAAGCTCACTCTCTTGGTCATTTGCATTGACATAACAACCTTATAAGCTTAGCCAAAGCCCTCCCACTCATCTCCATCGTTAATTCATCATCTTTGTGAGATTGAGAGTGAATCCAAGTGCATTGCTTGAGTAATTGTATCTAGAGGCACTTGGTGTTCGTGTTTCGCTGCAGGATTCGCTTGTTACTCTTGGTGGTTGCCGCCACCTAGATGGTCTGGAGCAACGAGGATCGTTGAGTGGAGAAAGGTGCTTGTCTCCGGCTCTGATCATGATGATTGTGAGGGGTTCTTGATATTTCTCCGGCAAAGAACCAAAAGGTACTCTAGTGTATTGTTCATGGCTTGTGTGATCCTCATCTTGTATTGGTTGTGTGACACCCGGTTGCGGGTTTGGCGTGTGATGCCAATTAGCGTGTGTAGACCTTGTGGTAGTTGAAACTAGTTAGTGTAGCTCTCTACCACTCTCTTGTATTACATTATGCCTTTACTTGTGTAGACCTTGTTGTAGTTGAAACTAGTTAGTATAGCTCTTAGTTGTAGTTCTCTTGCTAGCTTGCTCACCTAGGTGTAAATTAGTGACTTAGCCTTGATGTGATATACTAGAGATCATAGATTTTAGAATTGGGTAGGTGGCTTGCAATACAAGGGTAGTGCTAGCGCAAAATTTACTTCGCCATCTTATTTACTAATCACTTGCCTTAGTGTTATTGTAGAATTTTTTAATAGGCTATTCACCCCTCTTCTAGCCATTAGGACCTTTCAAGTGGTATCAAAACCGTGGTCACTGTGATTTGAGGCTTAACAACCTTCGATGTCAAAATGGTTCAAATCAACAACACCGAGAAGTCACCCCGATTTGATAGCACAAATTATCTTTATTGGGAGTTAAAGATGACCACTCATATCAAGTCAATCAATAGAAGAGTGTGGAAGATAGTGGAGACTAAAATTGAGATAGCCAATCAAGACAATCACACCGTGGCCAAAGAAGTGCTTCTCCAAAACAATGACATTGCTCTTAGTGCTATTCATGATGCTATTGATGAGAGAACATTTGAACAAATCAAAAACATTGAGATGGCTCATGAAGCTTGGAAGAAGTTGGAAGAATCATTTGAGGGCACCACGGCAATAAAGGGTGCAAAGGCATACATTCTCAAGCAGAAATTTGCTAGCTTCAAGATAAAGGAAGATGAGAGTGTGTCGAACATATTTCATCGAATGGAAGTGCTTGTCAATGATCTCAAAGCATTTGGTGAGAAGGTGGAAGATAAGGACTTCTTCCATAAGTTCTTGAGATGCTTACCCTTAAGATTTGGCATGTTGGTCACCTTGCTAGTGAGGACCAGTTTGGACACAATGACACCAAACCAAATCTTGGGAGATATCATGACCGATGATGCTTATAGAGATGATGATGAGAAGGAAGAAAAGAACAAAGAGAAGAAAGATGGGAAGAAGAGTGTGGCATTCAAAGTTAGTTCATCATCCAAGGGCAAGGTCAAGCAAGATACATCTAGTGAAGATGATGGCTCATGGGATGATGATGATGATGAGAAGATAGCTCTCTTTGTCAAGAGATTTGGCAAGTTCATGGTGAAGAAGGGCTACCGTGATAAAAGTAAGAAGTCTTCATCCAAGAACAAGGAAGAGTCAAGAAGATGCTTCAAATGTGGAAGCAAGGATCATCTTATTGCTCAATGCCCATACAATAGCGATAATGATGATGATGACAAGAGGAGCAAGAAGAAAGACAAGAAGGACAAGATGACCTTCAAGAAGAAGAAGAAGGGTGGTTCATATGTGGTCACTTGGGATAGTGATGCTTCCTCAAGTGATGATGATGATGATAGTGATGATGACAAGACCACCAAGAAGAAGGCTCTTGCAAGCATTGCTATTAATGAGAAGCATTCTCTCTTTGACACTCCATGCTTCATGGCTAAGGCCACTAAGGTACAATCCGATGATGAGTGTGATAATGAGGAACAAGATAAAAATGAAAGTGAAAGTGATGATGATGATAATGAACCCACTAAAGATGAATTAATTGACTTGTTAGATGATGTTAAGGAATATTTTGACATTAAGAAAAGAGAATGTAAAGACTTGCGAAAGAAACTAAAATCCCTTAAAGCAAGCCTTTGATGAGCTCAATGCATCTCATGAGAGGCTAGAGGAAGTCCATGAGAAGCTTGGCAAGGCTCACAAGAAGCTTGAAAAAACTCATTCCTCTCTACTTAATGAGCAAAATAGGAAGGAGCATGTTATAACATGTGACAAAGGCTTAACTTGTGATATAATTTATAAATCATTCTATAAGCCTATCATTGTTGCTCCCACTAATCCTTCTTGTAGCACATCCACTTCTAGCTCATCTAGTGGTAATGGTTTCACTTGTGATGCCTCACTAATGGTTGAGAATGAAACACTTAAGGAGGTAAAAGAGCTCAATCACACCTTGGCTAAGGCCTATGGTGGTGAGGACCGCTTGCTTATGTGCTTAGGTAGCAAAAGAGCTTCTCTCTATAAAGAGGGATTGTGCTATACCCCCAAAAAAGACAAGGTGGCCTTTGCTCCTCACAAGACTAGTTTTGTGAAGAACAATGGTCGGTTTTGCACTAGTTGCAAGTAACTTGGTCATGTAGAGCAAAAGTGCAAGAAAAAGCTACCTCAAGCTAATGTATCCTCTATTAAGCTTGATTTCTTCTATGTGCTTACTAAGGGTACAAATGGTGTAAAGGCTAAGTTCATTGGTGCACCTTGGATGGGCTCAAAGAAGAAAGTCATTTGGGTGCCAAAGAGCTTGGTCACTAACCTTCAAGGACCAAGCAAGTTTGGGTACCTTAAAAGAATTGATCTTTTTTGTAGGTCAATTACAGAGCCAAAGGAAGACATTGGGTTCTTGATAGTGGGTGCACTCAACACATGACCGGTGATGCAAGAATGTTCAACTCAATCAACACCAATGGCAATAATGGTTATGATAGCATCACATTCGATGACAATGGCAAAGGCAAGGTCAAACGGCTTGGTAAGATTGCAATATCCAATGACATGAGCATTTCCAATATATTGCTAGTTGAGAGCTTGAACTTCAATTTGCTATCCGTAGCTCAATTGTGTGATCTTGGATTCAAATACATATTTGTGGTAGATGATGTAGAGATCATAAATATAGATGGCTCTAACTTGATCTTCAAAGGCTTTAGATATGAGAATCTATACTTGGTTGATTTCAATGCTAGTGAAGCTCAATTGTCAACATGCTTATTCACTAAGTCTGGTATGTGTTGGTTATGGCATAGAAGGCTTGGTCATATTGGAATAAAACAATTGAATAGATTGGTTAAGCATGACTTGGTTAGAGGCTTGAAAGATGTTGTGTTTGAGAAGGATAAGCTTTGTAGCTCTTGTCAAGCCAGCAAACAAGTTGAAAACACCCATCCTAAGAAAAGCATAATGAGCACTAGTAAAGCGTTTGAGTTATTGCACATAGATTTGTTTGGGCCAACACAATACACTAGCATCGATAGAAACAAATATGGCTTTGTAATAGTGGATGACTATACAAGATACACTTGGGTATTCTTTCTAGTGGACAAGAGTGATGTGTTTGCAATATTTAAATCATTTATCAAGGGCATTCACAATGAGTTTGAAACAACCATCAAGAGAGTTAGAAGTGACAATGGTAGTGAGTTCAAGAATACTAGAATTGATGAGTTATGTGATGAGTTTGGAATTAGACATCAATTTTCGGCCAAGTACACTCCACAATCAAATGGCCTTGTTGAGAGGAAGAATAGAACATTCATTGATATGGCAAGGTCTATGCTTAGTGAGTACAATGTGAGTCAATCTTTTTGGGCCAAAGCTATCAACATGGCTTGCTATTGTAGCAACCGCTTGTATTGTCACTCATTGAAAGAGAAGACACCTATGGGCTCTTGAATGGTAGAAAGCCCAACATTGCATATTTTTTGGTTTTTTGTTGCAAATGCTATATCTTGAAGAAAGGCACTAGATTGGACAAGTTTGATAAGAAATGTGATGAAGTATTCTTACTTGGATACTCCACTACAAGCAAAGCATATAGAGTTTAGAATTTAGCAAGTGGTACTCTTGAAAAAGTTCATGGTGTTGAATTTGATGAAACCAAGGGTTCACAAGATGAGAATGAGAACTTAGAAGATGTTAGAGGCATTCAACTTTTAAATGCCATGAAGAACATGGATGTTGATGAATTGAGGCCTAGGCAAGTGATTGATAAAGAAGATGATCAAGTGCAAGTGCGCTCTAAATCAAATGTGCAAGATGACACTAATCAAGCAAGTTCAAGT